TGTCTTTTTACTTTCATTTGCAGCAGCATCACTGTGAAAAAGCATTCAAAGAAAATTAAAGGCAGCATTATGCAACTGCTAAAAGAGCGCTGAAAGTGTGCTTAGTCACATGCATCTGTAAATAGCTTACATTGCATGATTATTGAAGCGAATGAAAAGAATTTGCAACTTAAATAAGCCAATGCAATGACTAATGGTCTGAGCTATTAAGTTTGTTAAATTAATGGCAGACACTCAGAGGCGGAGCTAAAATTTGAAGTTTGTGGGTTCGAGATTCTAAATTCTTTAAATTACTGGGTTCTAAATTAATAATTTATACATATTTAATAAATTTTTTAAGACATACATGATTTGCACCAAAGCCACTGGGTTCGGTCGAACCCATATCTCCTACTCTCCCTCCGCTCCTGCAGACACTTCAACAGAAAGAAACATACTGTGGGTAAAGGAATACCCTAGTGGAACCAACAACACGAGCATCTAAAACCAACTGATGACCTTTTGAAAGAAATTAAACCATTACCGTGGCATTACTCATTGCATTCATCCTAGCAGCAAGCTCACTCGCAAATGACTCTTCAAGTGCCCTCAAAATCTGGCTATTCAAATAGAGTGGCATGAAAGCATCAAGAATCTGAGCAGGATGTTGCTCAAAGTCTAAATTACGCAACTCACTTTCCCTTTTAACCCTGAAATGATCCCTCTCAACAATCATTTTCCCCTCCTTAGTAGTCAACATAAAGAAGTCATCTTTATCTACATCAAAAATTTTCCCATTAACATCAAGACTTCTCCTTTCGACGAAATTAGAAGCAGCGTATGTATTACTGGATCAGATTTAATCAACGAAACAAATTTAGCATACAACGGATATGGAGTAATGATGGAGTATGCTGGAGTAATGCTACAGAAGTACTTGTCTTTTTCTTTAAAAGGATTAGTACACCTGAAAAAGCAGAAATTTGTCTTTAGTTATTATCAAAAAAACAAAGAGCATTTATACATATGTGTAATTCACATTAATTAAGACATCAGATTTTGTTGTATTGTACTTTGGATCAGAAGTGTATAAGAACATGAGCAAGTTTCCGAACCAGTATATGAGAACATGAGCAAGTGAATAGGCAACTTAATGGAGAAAAAATTAGACTGCATAGTTAGCTGGTCAGAAGCAAACCTTACACATCATAAGAATTTTCATTGCATGTTCACCTAGCAGCTTCTGAACCTCCACGAGATCTGAACCGTTACTAACAAAAGAAAACGCAATCATGTCAATAAGATTCGGAACTCCCCAATTTAAAATGTCATCCTTGTCTTTATCTGTCAATGCTGGCAGATCCACAATTACTCACCGGAGATTGAAATTATTTGTTTCGCCAAGAACAGCAGTGTTCCCACAGCGGCATCATACCAAACCGTTCTCTTTGTCACAAGACAAATCTGTAAAGGTGATTGTGCCATCTGCACAGATGATCACACTTTGTGGCTTTACATCCTATGCTAACTTTTTGTAGCTCATGCTTATCATACTCTCATCAACTTTAATGATGTAATAAGTTGAGATTGTGATCTCCTGACCCTATTTAAGTTGAACAGGCTTAGCATATTTTAAAAATCCTGTTCCAATTTCTGGACCGTACAAGATAAAAATGAAGTNAAATAAGCCAATGCAATGACTAATGGTCTGAGCTATTAAGTTTGTTAAATTAATGGCAGACACTCAGAGGCGGAGCTAAAATTTGAAGTTTGTGGGTTCGAGATTCTAAATTCTTTAAATTACTGGGTTCTAAATTAATAATTTATACATATTTAATAAATTTTTTAAGACATACATGATTTGCACCAAAGCCACTGGGTTCGGTCGAACCCATATCTCCTACTCTCCCTCCGCTCCTNCTTTCACATAAAAAGGTAAAGGCAAGACAGGGCTAGGCAATCATATATTATATACTTTTTAATAGGCGTAATTCTGGCACGTCGGCGAGTCTTGCTGCTGCAGAAATCAAAGATTTTATAGCTTCTCTACATCCCTCGGGACATGTCCGATAAACAAAATTACCCAGAATGAACGAACAAGTGGTAAATCATCTTGTATTGAGAAAGGGAAAAAGATAGTCGAAATCAGTTATGAAAATTTTCTGCACAACCTTTGTATAAAGCAACAATCATTATAACTAACAGTAATATATCTAAATAAGCCTTCATGAGAATAAAAAAGTTGACCAAATATTTAATTACCAGTATATCTTATGGGAAGCTGTAGAAGCAAGTTGTAATTTTCTACCTGTGTGAATATAAGAACAACTCATGTGCTCTGTGCAGAGTTAATGATAAGAAATGCAAAATATGATGGTTAATGCAATGCAACATTAAAATCTAAATGATGACCTCCACAGAAGTTGCTTTAAGTGAAGCATTTGACAAAATGTAAATGCATTGGCTAAATATTGAAGATTAAATGGTACCTTGATTCTATCGTATGATGCCCATTCATTAAATACTTCTGGCTCTACTCAAACTACTTCTAATAAAGAGGAATTAAAGTTATCACCTGCAATGTTGCAGCAGTGATCAAAGGAGGCACCATTTAGCGAATCCATAAGAGAAAAGTTCTTTATGTGCTTACCAGAGACAAAGCACTGTGCAACAAATTTGAATTTGGCATAAACAATCTCAATTTTCTCAGGAGTTATGTATTCAACTTGGGCCAACATGAAGATAATCTTCTTCTTATTCATAATGAGCATTCAGAACATTGACATCTACAATAACATTGACCAATTGAAAAAGTGTAAAATTAGTAATTATTATAGACAATATAAATGAAGATTGTATAATAATTAATAAATGTCATGGTCTATCTTAGATATAGCAATTGGTATTGTAATAATGTGAAGAAATCAGATTATTTCATCAACAATAAGTGCAGGACAGTGGTATGACTTTTTAAAATGACATACTGACAGATTTAAAACTATCACCCATTGTATGACATTTTAAAATCACATATTAGTTGAATAGATTGACTGCATATATAGATAGAAAATACAGTTTTTAAATAAAAAGAGGATATCTAGTTAAACAAATTGGAAAAAAGTGCAAGTGTCATAATAAGTTCAAGAGTATTTTCCGAAGAAACAGAACGAAACAGTAAAATTATTATACTGATAAAAGCCCTCATCCTTTTCAGTTTCATAAGCAAAGAAGTACCTTTAGTCAATAGTACCGACAAAGTGCAAAAATAATTCATTTCTTTACAATGATGGGAGAGCAAGAAATTACACTGAAACTCTTTTAGCTAAGTAAAGAAGTCCTTAAAGATTATATAAGTATCCAGATTATGTTCGTTATATAATTTAACTATTAATCCAAATATTTTAACAACAAAAAGTGAATTGTTGTAGTATATTGAAATCTTCTACAACCAATCGAGGAAGTAGGTTTAAAAATTTGTGAACAGCATAACAACAATTGAAGATTTGGCTATTTAAAATTAAAGACGCAAAATACTTGTAAGTAAAAGAAATTGATTTGTAATACCTTTTCATCTTGTAGAACCAATTCAATGGAGAAATTAGTGTTTGAATTGGAACAATCTCGGGCTTTCCATAGACGAACAACCCGACATTTAAACTTCTGTTGCATCCTCGAAATTGTTATGTCCTTAATGAAATAAAAATGAGTAGCCATATTTTGCATCAGCCCTAAGTTAACTTGAAATCAAATGACATCATTAGGAAGGATAGAATTGAAGTAGCGTATAATATTGGAAGAAATATAACTTTGCGAGTTATTTGTTAGTAGATGTAAACATTAAGAAGTTAATAGTTAAAAGTGACTGAAAATAGTAACAACAAATGATGATGAGATAAAAGTTAAGCTTACCAATTGAAGTTGTCAACTGTTGTTTCTGAACTTTATTTTCAATATGGTTTAGCAAAGACAGAAGCATGAGAACCAAAAATGTTGCGAAAATATATCAGATTTGCTATCATTCTCCAAGTAAATTATGGAAAACTTCTTTGTAAACCACATTTTTTGCTTCATTTGAAATTTCTCCATCATCGTCATAAACCAAAATCTTTAATCCCTTTCTTTTTGTAACCCGTGATAGAGTAACGTAAAGCTGGCCATGTGTGAAGACCGGTTTTTCAAATATAACCCAACATGAGATAAAGATTGTCCTTGACTTTTGTTTATCGTCATTGCAAAGGATACAACTATTGGAAATTGTCTTCGTTGGAATTTAAAAGGTATTCTTGCATCAGATGGAGTTAATGACATTCTCGGAATGAAGACCTTTTGTCCAGCCATATTTCCCGATAAAATTTTTGCTTCGATAACTCGAGTCTAGTGATGATTAATCTTGTTCCATTACATAGCCCTGAAGATGGGTCTATATTTCTCAAGAACATCACTGGGACACCCACTTTCAAAGTGATAACATGATTTGGAATTCCAGAACACTTAATAGTGTTTAGGAATTCAGGTGTATGTATGTGTTCCAAACCTGTAAAAGCATCGTCTGACATGCAAATTGTATCGGAACTAAAAAATGTTTTTGGTTGACTTTGGTTTAGTGAAACAATGTATTCGTTGATCGATTCAACCATGTCAAGAGTGGGAGCAAGAATTCCTCTTTGTTGCAGGTATGTTAAATCACTGCAATGACTTAAAAAATCTGGATATGTACTTTCCACAATCGCAGAAATTGGATCGCCACAATTATTTATGATAAGATCATGGATGTGAAATTTATTGATACCATCAACAGAATTTCCAATCATACCATCACCTATTGCTAAAATCCAATCAGAAAATTGTCTTAGATCATTCAAATGTGAATCCACCTGATTTCCTTCCAACCTCATATTTTTTGTTAGCTTTAACACTTGACAGTGATTCCACAAATATGAAGAATTAAGGGTAGCATTAACAATATCTTGTCTACTACCTTTTGGAATGACTGGAAGTATTTGTCTAAAGTCACCACCAAGAACAACGGTTTTTCCTCCAGATGGACGATCTAAATTGGATGCATCTTTAAATCTAAGAATATCTCTTAGAGTTCTGTCTAGAGCTTCAAAACAATATCTATGCATCATTGGTGCTTCATCCCAAATAATTAACTTTGTCTTGACAATCAATTTTGATAAAGGAGTACCTTGTTTGATATTACATGTTGAATCTTCAGTTGCATTTAGTGGGATTGCAAATCTCGAATGAGCTGTTCGGCCTCCTGGTAACAAAAGAGATGCAATTCCGCTGGATGCAACTGTTAACACAATATCTCCTTTAGGTCTTATGGCAGATGACAAAGTCCTCCAAATAAATGTCTTCCCGGTTCCTCCATGACCATATAAAAAGAAGAATCCACCTTTGTCCTCATGCACTGCTTTGATAATTCTGTCATAAACTAACTTTTGCTCCATTGTCAATTTAACCAATAAATCTTCATGTTCCCCAGACAAAGAGCACCTATTATAATGCATTTCTTCACAGATTAGTGCATTCGTGTTGTCAATTTCCTCTTCATTGAAAATCGGTCTTGGCATTGTTGGAAAATCGTATAACGTTCTTCCGCAACCTTTCAAAAAAAAATTCAACTTTTGTAGACAACGATTCTTTAGTTCATCATTTGTTAGCTCAGCCTCTAAAATAACAAAAGTATATAATTAATTAATTTATCATAAAAGTATATAGTTGCCATGAGTCATATAAAGATAAGATCAAAATGATTTCCTTCGGAAATAATAAAAGAAAATTAATGTAACCTTAATTCGTTGGAAGGCGACGTCAATTATGTCTTTAACAAAATATATTAATAATTAATCGCTCATAATTTGCAAGCCTAAATGTAGATCGTAGAATAAACTAAGATTTAATTTGTATGCACAAATAATGTAAAAATAATTTAACAATTTTATAATATTAAAATCTTAAATAGAAGGTCGAATTGTATACCTGGATTATCCAACATTCTTCTTTCTTCATGTAAGATATCATCTGATAATAAAATCCATGTTGCCTCCCAAACATATTCTGGTCGTGACATTGAATTGGATAATAGTAACATAGCAAATAATTACCTAAGATATGATGACATTCCCCAGTTACTTGCCTCCTTTATGGCATCCACATACTCTTTGTCATCATCTAATAAACCCATTGCATAACATGCATCTCTAAAAGTTAAATGGTCGTGATTGTTGATTCTGCGTAAATCCTCATAACACTTAGGTCCTTTAATTACATTCAACAACATTCGAAGGTAATATTGCTCTCCACTTCCAAGTGGTACAAAGAATATTCTTCCTATTGAAAAAGCTGAATTTCTTCTTTTTTCCCACTTTTTTAGTTTTTTATTCCACACAAACTTAAGAGGAAATTCTGCATATGTTAATTCTCTTGCTTCTTCATATGTATTATTTGCCTCGAACCAGCTTAAAAACTTTGATTCCTTTACACTTGGTCTATTGGCAACATGATCAATTGGAACATCATCAGAGAAAATAATTGTTTGTTCATTTGGTAGATGAAAGGAAAGTCTTTCTACCGAAGGTTCTCTATGCTGAATTGGAAATTTAAAAATTCTCCAAGCAGCTTCACAGGTTGATATGTATTGA